TTTTTTTTTTTTTTATGTCTGTTGCCACTTTTTCTCAGCTCTCACTGGACCGATTTCTTTCAAAAATACGTCAAAAGATCACAAATCGTATCTAGTTGAAGACATTACATTTAAAAATTTTCCCTCGTTCCCCGCAAATGGGGGAAATATATGGGGAAAATAAAACCCAGCACAGTGGGGTGGCGGCACAGTGGGGTCGTGGCATAGTTGGGTCCAGTATAGATGATATCTGACAGTAATTAAAATCACTATCATAAAAAACGCTTCGATGCAAATCTGTAGATAGTGTTTAATTTAAAAAAAAAATTTGTCAAAAAAGTAGGTTAAATGAGAGCTGAGAAAATAAATGATAGCTACAAAAAAAAACCACATAGTAAAATAATATTAATATGAATTTCTTCTCACGAGAGGAGACTAACGTAATGGAATCCTTGATATTTATTGAAGTTATTGAATCTAAATGAGTTAAACATTTTTTTTTAACTCAAAAAGAATTAAAAAAAAATTCAGTGCCACAGTCTTGAAAGACCCAAGTGTTACCGTCTCAAAAACCGTACGTCTCATTCGTCACTTAATAAAAATGGAAAATTAGCTAGTTTAAATTTTAAAGTTATTTTTCTCGACTTCAAAAAACAAAAAAATTTAAATATGTTTAACTTTTTATACTATGTCAATTATTTTGATATAATATTTATGAAAATAAGTAATCCCCTTATAATAAAATAAAATACAAAACCAAGAATTTTAACACAAAAATAGCATATTTTTGAATACGGTAGCTATTTGCGCATAAAAGATAGGTCGTCGGGACAAATTTTTTTTTTAATTTTATATTATATGACATAAGCTTTAATTTTATATATGTTGAAAAGACGCAGTATTTCCGAAACATTTTCAAAAATTAAGTTGAAAAAGTTAGGTTTGTAAAAAAGTTTCTATTTTAAATCCCCTTTGTGAGCAGAATAAGTGTTAGATTTTCAAAGAAAATGATATCAAACGAAAGGAAATTACCTAAGGTTTCAATATAAAAAAATATTATTTTGATTTGGTTATATTTGAAAAAGTTATGGCAGTTTTAAGTACAAAAAACATCCTTATAGAAGGTGATTTTTATCGCAAATATTACATTTTTTTTTTAAATTTCGACAGCAATTTACACATAGAAGATAAGGTGTCGGGACAAATTTTTTTTTTTCATTTTACAGTACATAAAATAAGCTTTAATTTGATATATGTTTAAAGGACGCAGTATTTTCGGAACATTTTTAAAAGTTAGGTTGAAAAAGTTTTATTTTTTTAAACAATGTTTCAAGTTTTGAACGCCCCCTATATAAGGTGAAATTGTTCAATTTTAATAAAAAGTATGTCAATTGAAAGATGTACTTATAATGTGTTTAGAAAAAAAAAATTGTACTGATACATATATTTTTGATTTGGTGATATATTTTTTTTAAGTTATGTATTAATTATTACACGCGTGATAAGTTTTACTTCATATGGTTTTTTTTAAATAAATGTAATATCCAAAATTTTTTGTAATTATATTTTTATTAAAATAACTGCATCCATTAAGAATTTGAGAAAACAGAATTTATTACTTGTAATATGTACATAAGATCTTAGCAATAAACAATTTTATGTTTTTCAGCTCTATTTAATTTATTTGACTTAATCAAATATAATTTAGTTGATGGCTGTAAACGTATAGTTTTTAATAATTTATAAAAAATATATATTCTTCCTTCTGCCTAGTTATAAATATTTACATAACTTAAAAATAGTCGGAAAAATATATGATGAAATAATGTTTAAGTTGATTTTTATGTAAAAATTAATTTTGTTAGTTATTTTTAAATCTTTTATGATTAAGAGTAACATTTATTTTTAGTATAATAAATATAGTTTTAAAAAACTAAAAAACACGCTTTTAATGCACATCGAACTAAAAAGTTAAAAATAATTTTTAAAATAAGCCCTAAACAATAATGAACGAAAAACACTAGTATTATTGTAATAAAAGCGTCGGGCGCTCAATATACGAAAAATATGGCACAAAGCACCCACGCTTTTATCACAATAATAATAGTATTTTTCGTTCATTATTGTTTTAAGCTTATTTTAAAAATTATTTTTAACTTTTTAGTTCGATGTGCTTTAAAAGCGTGTTTTTTTTAGTTTTTTTAAACTATATTTATTTTTCACTTCTTAGTTTCATGTTATGATAGTAGTTACTATCAATATCATGGTTGTAACGGGTAAAGGGAAATCAGGGTTCGATTCCGGGGAGGGAGTCTGAGAAACGGCTACCACATCCAAGGAAAGCAGCAGGCGCGCAAATTACTCACTCCCGGAACATGGAGGTAGTGACGAAAAATTACAATACGGGAATCATCCTTTGTAATCGGAATGAATACACTCTATATCTCTTAATGAGATAAAGCGTGTTAATTTATATTTTTATTAGTAATTAGAATATATATATATATATATATTCAAGTAAAGCGACTTAAGTACGTAAACGTATCATGCACTAGGTATAGCCTTGTTTTGTGGGCGGGGGGGGGCGTTATACCTAAGGTATAAACGGCTGCAGCGGCAGTAGGAATATATAAATATATATACGTAAGGCGCATTACATGCGGGTGGTATTGGTCAGTCAAAATAAAAATTTGTTTATATATATATAATTAATGTCACGCATGCGTGTACGGGTACGAAAACCAAAAATATACAGAAATTATACAGAATTAGTGTTGCATGCGATTGGTGAGCGGGGTGGGGTGAATGCGTTACGAACGTTTAGTCTCAAGGCCATAGCACGTGCGCGTGGAAAGTTGCAAACAAACAACAAACATTTTTTTTTTTTTTCCACATGCCGGCATGATGTAGACCGCCCTGGAACTACCGCGAGGTATTGTTTCAGGGCGGCCCACGCCGTCTAAAATTCACACCACCACGTTGTGAATCAGCCCGAAATTAATCAAGAGCTGATTCACGACGTGAACAAACAACAAACAACAAACCCACAACATACAAGTGAAACTAATATAAGCGTGTTAAAAAGTAACATTTGCAATATTTTAAATTGATTTTAACAAATAAAAACGTGATTTGGCTTTATAATCATATTATAATATCTAGTTACAACCTAACGGTTCTATACACTTTTTAATGATGGAGATAATTTCATTACAAACTATATTTTTGTTTTACTTAATAAATATTTTGTATTGTGCAGTAGCGAAACCATTAGGTTCAAATTATGAAAAAGTATCCGAGGTAATATTATTTTTTTCAAAAATGAGATTTGTGAGGTTAACTTATTTATTATTGTATATATAGTTGAAAGATATTTTTACTTAGAGATGATTAAATTTTAATAAATGCATCGAATTTTGGTAAGGAATAATAGTTCTAATATTATAGCCGTATACAAATTAATGAAATTTATTCATCTTGAATAAACCTAATTGACTTTTATATCAAGTTTTTGGTAAAAGGTTTTAATTTACTCGTCAATTCGAAATAGTGTGTTAATATGTGTATATACTCAATATTTTAAAGATAAATTATCAAAAAGATTAATAACTTTAATTTTATAACAACAAACATACATTATTCTTATGACGAAATTTTTCTAATTTTGTTGTCATTTATTGACATATACACTGATGTAAATTAAGTGTTTAGTGAAACAAATAATCTAACAAAAATAAAAATATTGTTATTTTTTTTAAGGAATTGAAAGATTTAATAGAAAACACTCATGATTATGCTTGCTTTGATTCTTCAGGTAATTATAAAGTAATTGCTAAATTATTATGATCTCATATGATTAGGAATCAGTAAGTTTATTCACAAACTAAGATAAAATGGACTGTACACGAAACCTTATCATGAGATCTGATTTTATTATATGTTTCCCGTAAAAAGGGAAATTTTGAAGTAACGGCACCGTACGGTTGGGTTTATACGGATTTTTTATAATAAAACCGTATCGCACCTCAGACTTTGTCACGTCCAGGCCATTTTATCTTAATTCGTGAGTAAAACCGAGTGAACAATAAAATAAGATTTTAAGCGTTAAAGATCTATGTCGTAGATTATACCTTAAATTATTGAAAAATAATATCGTTCTATTCTTGCTGCAATAGAAAATTGGATTCATAAAAATGAAGAATATTTCAATGATGATTTGAAAACGGTATATGACTATATTAAAAATAATGATGGTAGTGTGTCTCTAAATAAAGCAAATGATTATCTTAAAAGTGTTGGTTGTAAAATTGACCAAGGACAAACAAGCAATCCCATAACATTGAAATGTAAGTTAAAGATTATTTGACTTAAATTTATATCTATCTAATTATTTTTTAAACAGCATATTTTTAATAATAAATTGTAATTTGAACCAGAACCGGATTAAGACTTATATGGGCCCCGGAGCGGTACATTGAGAGGAAACCTCCTATAAAAAGCTCGTAGACCCAAGGGCGTTTGTTCCCACCCCTTAATAGGGGTTTTTAAAAATTTTAAAAAAAATTTTTATTTTTTTATTAGAAAATAATGAAATCTTCAATATAAAATGAAAAAATAACTTAAATTTAAAAGAATCAGTATCATATCAACTCCAAAAAAACGGCAGCACTATGTGGACGTGATATAATTGGGACATGATACATGGTATATAACAGTGATTAAAATCACTATCATAAGAAACGCTTCGATGAAAAATCTGTAGACAGTGAAATTCTAAGATTTTAAAAATTGTAATTTTTGTAGAGATTCACCTATTTACGGGGAGCTAGAGACTTTCGATTAATTTTGAGGGTGTTATCTTCGACTAAATACAATTTGTGATCTTTTGGTGTATTGCTCATCAAAATCGGTCCAGTGACACCTGTGATTCAGTGGTAATAGTGACACACAAAAAAAAAATAAAAACAAATACACATTAAAGTAAAATTAATGCCTTCTCAGCTTCAAATCGAAGTTAATATGATTAATTAATTTTAACTTAATAATTGAACAAAATTTTTAAGTTTTCGTTTGTAAATTTATCGATCAATTACAGTTATTAATGGAACTATAATTCTTTAGATTTTCTCAGTTTATTCTTTAGATATAATAATAAATATATACAACAAGTTAATGGAACTAAAATAATCGAAAATTTATTAAATTGAACAGTAAATATTTAATTTAATATGTTATACTTTATGGTTGATATTTACTAAAATAATTTCTAACGTCACTGATGCCCAATGATTAATTTATTACAATCATTCTTTAATGAAATACGATTATTTTTGATAAATTTCATACAACTATTTATACTTAACACATTTTTACTGTTTCAATAACATTTTCCTTAATCTTAAATATCTAGTATTGTTTGCTAAACTTTTTCAAATCTGTAATGATTCTTATAATTTATTATTAATTCCAGGCTTCGATGATTTTTTAAAATATGTTCAAGAAATAATGAAGGATATTAAATATGAAGTATAATGACTTTTTTTTCGTATATTCAACATATAATATGTATCATGTACTTTAATATTAGAGAATATTTCACCTTATTGTCATAAAAATGTCAAATAAATATGTGTTTATATTTATAAAATTGAATTAAATCTATGTATGAAAATATTTTTTAAGCAATATCTTAATGTATATATATATACCAAATGATAGGTAAATACCTAATATATATACATTAAAAAAAACCCAGTACAGGGGGGTCGTGGTACAGTGATGACGTAGCATAGTTGGATCAAGTATATTGATCTGACAGTGATTAAAATCACTATAAAAAAAAAATTAAATTATATTACATTAGCTTTAATTTAAGATAAAAAAAATATACCATTCTAAATCCACTTTTCGCGATGTTTTCAAATCTGCAATTAGACTTTTTCTATCACTTCTAAGTTTTAATGTTATTAAAAATTAGTATTAAAATATAAAAAATACGCATCGAAGCTAAAAAAAAAAGTTGCTATTTTAAATCCCCCCCAATGACCAGGTTAAGTGTTAGATTTTCAAAAAAAATGATATAAAATAAAAGAGAAATATCTAAGGTTTTAGTATAAAAAAAATTTATGTTGATTTGTATATTTTTGAAAAAGTTATGGAAGTTATAAGAAAAAAAAAGTGAAAAAAATGACAAAATTTACTGATTTTTAAATTTGTAATTTTTTTGGATATTTCCCCCATTTGCGGGGAACGAGGGAAAATTTTTAAGGGTAATGTCTTCAACTAGATACGATTTGTGATCTTTTGAGGTATTGTTGAAAAAAATCGGTTCAGTGAGAGCTGAGAAAAAGTGGCAACAGACATAAAAAAAAAAAAAAACATCATGGTAAAATTAATACCGTCTCAGCTACGCATCGAAGCTAAAAGCTAAAATAAGGAAGTCTCCTGGAGAGTACTGTTCCGAATAGTGCAACATAAGTATCTGGTATAACCTATATATAATTAATACATAGTTCACAAATTATAATATTAATAAAACATAATAATTTTATCACGTTATGAATTGCTGTTAAGTTAANTTTATCACGTTATGAATTGCTGTTAAGTTAAACAAATTTCCCTATGATTGATACGTTTGCAATCATAGCGTAAAGTTAATTAATTAATTATATTTCAAATTAAAATAGTTATTCATTTTCAAAAAATTGTTTTACACTAAATTACATATAGCAATATTTTAGTGTATTTAAAATAAATATTTTAAATATTTAAAAATAATTGACAAAAAAAAAACAATTATTTGAACTTGAATACATTTGTTAATTTTGTTATCAATCATGTTTAAATGAAACAGATAGATATTTTAACTTTTTCAACTTAATTTTTGAAAATGTTCCGGAAATACTGCGTCCTTCAAACATATATCAAATTAAAGGTTATTTTATGTACTATAAAATTTAAGAAAAAAATTTGTCCCGACACTTAATCTTCTGCATGCAAACGGCTGCCGTAGTTAAAAACCGCTATTTTTGTGTTAAAATTTTCTATTTTAAATTTTCAATTTAAAAATGCTATAACTTTTCAAAAAATATATGTATCAGTACAATTTTTTTTTTCTAAACACATTATAAGTACATCTTTCAATTGACATACTTTTTATTAAAATTGAACAATTTCACCTTATATAGGGGGCGTTCAAAACTTGAAACATTGTTTAAAAAAATAAAACTTTTTCAACCTAACTTTTAAAAATGTTCCGAAAATACTGCGTCCTTTAAACATATATCAAATTAAAGCTTATTTTATGTACTGTAAAATGAAAAAAAAAA